AAAATAAAATAGGATAGGAGACACTGTATTGTCGTGTCAGATTGTTGTTGAAGATAATGTCTGGACAGTGGACGAGGTCATGCTGGACCGTTGTAGAAGCTAACCGGAATCAATGTCGGGACAGTTTACAGAGTCTTGTCGGACCCATGAAGGAGCTAACCGGAATCAAATGTCGGGACAGTTTATGGGGTCATGTCGGACCGTTGTAAAAATCGCACCCTCAAAAGGTGTGCCCAATCTTTCAAAAGGCGTGCCATCAAAAGGCGTGCCCAATCCATAAAAAGGCGTGCCATCAAAAGACGTGCCATTAAAAGGCGTGCCCATGTTGTCGGCGAGCACCGAGAGGCGCATGATGCGCGTGTCTGCCTCTTCATCATGGTCTTTATAAACCGAAGCGGAGGCTGAGGCTCAGAAACGAAACCACATATGCGGTTGCTCATCTGTTTTCGTACACACCTACTCAGGTGGACCACATTTTTCAAGCGCAAGCTGAAGGGAGACCAAACCATTATGTTGGCATAGCCTAACGGGACAAGCACAAATGCAGCACCTTATGTGGCCAGAACCCACCAAGTACCGTATAGCATAATATGCCACTAAATCATTAATCTTGCAGCCAACCAAGAAACAAAAAATCAATGTTAGCTAGCTCATAATCCAAACATCTTTTCATAGCAAATAACTCAGAAACTTACATGCACATAACCGAATATGTTATATGGCCATTAGCAGTTCTAGATTAACATATTTAAGAAATCATTCATCTTTCATGAAAAAAATATTCTTGAAAAATAGAAACTCTTCCTTCAAAAACATATACCATTATCAGTTGGTGCATAGTTGTTAGCTAAACCTAAACAAAAGGGAATCAACTAAGACCCCATTAGTAGTGGTGAGTGAGCAAGACTAGATTAGGGATTTGCAAACAAACAAACACCAAGGTTCATTCCTCTAACAATAATTATCCCAAAAAAAAAAAGTTCATTCCTCAGCAAAGTGTTCACTTATTTTTTTTATTATTATTTTTTTTTTTTTGTTGGTTTTTTTTTTTTTTTTTTTTTTGATGTAAAATGGTGAACGGGGTGAGCCCCGACATGAATAAAAAGAGTTTGGTGTGCAGGTCGTCTTCGTCTGTTTTTTTTTTTTTTTTTTTTTTTTTTTTTTTTTTTTTTTTTTTTTTTTTTTTGGGTGTAAAATGGTGATCGGGGTGAGCCTCGACATGAATAAAATGAAATAAGTTTGGTGTGCAGTTCGTCTTCTTCTTCTGCCTGTTTTTTTTTTTTTTTTTGCAAAGAAATAAATAAAAATAAATAAAAATAATGAATTTGGAATCAAACGGAGGAGAGAGGGGACAACAAAAAAAAAGAAAGGTGATATTCAAATCGGTAGAGAATAGTTAAATAAAAAGAAACGAAAAGAGAGGGACAAAACCCATGTGATAAAGTGGAGAGAAGCTAGAAAGAAGAATGGGTATAGATGTAATAAAGGAATGAAAAGAAATAAATAAAACGAATGGGTTTGGGTGGAGAATATTTGAAAATAGAAAAATTTATATAATATATTTATCTCTTTGAAACTAGATGCTGGTTTTGATCAAAACCGTGGGCCAAATTACCACCCACGTGAGTTCACTTCCCCATGTACCAACATCAATCAGTGCATCTTTACCTCCCAGCACAAGCGCTGATTGTCCGGAAGTAAACGATTGGAATACCCATCTCTTCAGCAACATCAATTGTAAAACTCAGTAACCCATCGGCGATGATGCACGTGACTGGCCAAGTCGACTCGTAACTCAGTCGATTAGAGCAAAACAATTCGCGGAAAAGCGGTTTTATTACGGTGCTCAAAGAATCAATCAATTCAGTTAGAAAATCAGTGTCAGATCTGGAGCTCTCGGTGGGGATTCCATCGGAAATCGTTTCGAAACGGAATCGAGGATAGTGTTCGAAACGTTTGTGAACGTTTGTTTGACGGAGGAGGCGATTGTGGACATGATCGGAGACGAGGAAGGTGACGTGGAAGTCGGAGAGGAGTATGTATATATAGATATGTATATGTATACATACTGTGTATGTTACCAAACACCACACACCTACAGAACAACATGAGATCATGTTATTCGACCACGAAAGCTTAAACAACTGAGACCCATGGAATGGTGGCTTCATATGGTGATTTTGTTGTTGTTGTTGAAGCGATGAACGACTTCTCAATAGATCTAGATCTCACTTTGGAGATAACGGACAGAAGCGTTAGAAACTAGAGCAGCCGCGATGATGATAACGCCATCGAGAATAGCCACCATGTTCGAAGGCGGCGTCGGCGTAGTAATGCTGCGGCAGAAGGAGGTGCTGCGCGACGGAGGACGGCGGAGGAGGTGCTTCAAAGAGACGTAGTTGAGAGAGAGGCAGAGAAGCTCGGCGAGCTTGAGCATGGAGTTTACATGGCCTTTAGTGATTCTGTCTGCAGTGATTCTGTCTACATGGCCTTTTGAAGGCTTCACCTTTTGATGGCTGAGGATGACAAAGGTGAAGCCTTCAACAACAAGCGCTTCATGGCCGCCATTCATGTACTGACCTCGCGTAGCGATGGAGAGAGGTGAAGGCCCTTCGATAGGTGAGTCAAGGACAGCGACTCGAAGGAGTTGGGCGTGAAGGTGGTGGACTCAAAGAAATTTCAAGGTATGTGTAGAAAATTCTAGCGGACTAGGTTGAGGTCCGGCGGGCGGCCAAGGCGAGGTTGCCGCCCGCCGGTGAAGCGAAAAATACTAAATGCTTAACCTTGCTCTGATACCATGTTAAAATTGATGTATTATTGATTGATTGTTGTATTGAATGTTATGTTGAGCTCTCTCCTTTCTAGAGGAGAGGGAGAACAATTACAAACCGAAAGTAGAAGCACAAACCAAACAACATTATTAAAGGTACATTATTAAAGCATACTAATTATTATACTAACCTAATTATTAAAGCAACATTTTACATATTATATTCTAACAATTCTTTGATCTCTTGGAAAAGCAAGAAACAAACGGTCGTTGCTCGCTCTACTGCTGAAGCTGAGTATCGTGCTATGGCTCATGCCACTGCTGAGATTGTTTGGCTTCGTTGTCTCCTGTCTGAATTGGGTGTCTCTCAATTTTCTCCGACCTCTCTCTATTGTGACAACTGCAATGCTGTTCAGATTGCCCACAATACTATCTTCCATGAGCAGACGAAACACATTGAGATTGATTGTCACTTTGTTCGCCAGCATTTGCAATCTGGCTCTATATCGCTTCCTTTCATCCCTTCGATTTTGCAACTTGCGGACTTCTTCACAAAGACTCACACTACCGCTCGGTTTCAGTTTCAAACTCTCAGGGTTTTCTGCTAAAACACCTTGAGTTTGAGCGGGGATGTGAGAATATATGTGCATATTCTAAATTAGGCATAATTGTGGTTGTACTATTACAGTTCTATTAGAGGCATGATTGTATTTTCCTTTTTGGTTTAGGAGTCAGGGCTATATAATCTAAAGTGTGATTGTAATCAAATACACGATTGAATATACAGTTTCATTCAGAAAACTTACAGGTTAATGATCTAACCTACAACCCACACTTAATGCTCAACTCTGTATAAAAGAAAATTATATTCTAGCTGAGATACAACTTGAGTATATACAAGGTAGTAGGTACCTCTGGGGTACGAGAAAAATTAAGAAAAAAAAAATGAGTACGTGTGTGGATTTGGTAATAACGATAGTTCACCCGCGCCTTCTTCACAAATGTGCAGTGTGAATCAAGTTAGGGTCTAGATTTGGCAATAACGTAGAAAATCCACTTATCAAACGAGATGCCAAATAAAGACCATATCACTAGATTTGGAATTACCACCTAATCTTTTCTGGAAAAAGTAGGAAACCCTGACTCTGAATATATATCGGCCATTGACCAAGCGTAATTAGAAAACTTGGTCTGGAAGTTTAGGTATGAGAGAAGACGGTCATGAATTGAGCATTCCCAGCTCACTCAACCAAAATACCGGCCTCTACTAATTATTGATATGATATTGATTTCCAAATACATTCATATTCCAATTATTAAAACCAACTTTTTCATGTGAAGCAAAGGATAACTTTTGGAAAGCTTCCACTTCCATTAGTTTTGAAAAAGAGTTTGTTTTTAAAAATGATTTTGGAAGAAACAGATAACTCTCTAGCTGAAAATAAAGAAATGGAAGCAATCCCAAGTTAGGAAAAACAACCTCTAAACATAGAGATATGACATATACACAAGCAACCTCATGAAAGCATGATTTCTACATAGAAAGTAAAACAAAAACATATAAGATGCAAATGAAGGGAGAGATTTCTACACCAAGTCAAAAGCAAAAGGTAGTAGAAATACAAAATGATGCATGATCCTAGATGCAAAAATCAATTAATGCAAGAAAACTGATAAAAATTCAACTTATACGCCCGGTTGCTAGTAGAATGTCATGCAAAGCATCTCAAGCATAGAAACTAAACTCAACACAAGATAGCAACAATATCCCAAAAAAGCGCTAAACCGGGCCTAAATGCATGGACTAAGCTATCAACATGCTAAAATGTATTAGAGAAAGAAGAGGAGTTAGAAAAGAGATCTACTCAAACTCTGCAACTAATTCCAAAAATCTTGCCACCTGCAATTCTCAAAAATCAAGCCCAAACTGGCGTGTTTTACACCTAGAAATGATAGCAATTCTCTTCTCCATCATAAAACCCTAACCGTAAAAGCTTCCTACAACCAAAACCCACCACAGTTCCTATTGTATACAGAAGTACTTCAAGTTTGTCCTGCATCACATGTATTAGTAAACATTTTAAAAAAGATTATTTAATAAGATATTTTTTGACAGTCAAAACTAGAAGTAGAAAACAAAGCAAGCAACTAAATATATATCAGAGGGTGCAAATAAGCCATTATGATCAGAAAATATAGATGATAGAACACAAAATGAATTCAATCTTACTTGGGAAACCATAAGGCAAAGGAAGAAATTTCGCATTTGTCGTTTCCTCAATTTCTTCACGGGAATGCTAGCAAACTCTCCTTCCTATGTAATCATTAGATCAATCAGAAAGGAAACTTTGGTCTACATGCTATAACAGTACTAGTGGAAACTCCAAATGCTATCTGAGAATAGATATGAGAAACTTAAAATTTATCAACACATGCACAGCACTTGAAACAACTTTCAAAATGTCTCATGTCTAAGTTTATGCATTGCACTTCAATCAACTTTCAGAATGTCTTATGTCTATGTTTACTGTCTTTATTCACTTGGTGACTGCCTATTGATTGCTCATAAGACTATGTCTTCACTCCCTCGGTGAATGCCTACTGACTGCTAACTTGTTACGTTGAAGTTGTAACATCAACAATTCTTTCAAAATTGAGCCCAATAATTTATATCAAGCTATGTAACACTCTCCCTCATTTGCAACCCATGTGGAGAGGCAAACAAACATATAGAGACACTTAATGGAACAAAGTGTAAAAACAGACATAAAATAGAATGTATAGTAACAACCATAGCAAGGTGTGGGCACTAAATTTTGAAAAAATTTCTGTTGACAGGGTACTTATGTGGCATGATGATTGTGCCAATGAGGTGGCATAATGACATGGCTTTTTGAAGAAATGAAATAAAAGCCAAAGAAAGAAAGAAAGGAAGAATGATGGCTGTAGTAGTTAGGATGTTGCTGGAACCAAGCAAGCGAAGACCCAGTCAAATGCTAACGGTTACTATGAAGAAGGGACACGGATAAGTGGAAGTAAGGATCAAGGAGGATCATGGCTGCATCCAGAGGTGGCTAAACCAGTATAAAAGGAGTTTTAGAAGAAGAAAGGGATCCAACACAACTCACACATCATGATTATTGGGCGTAGCTTCTATCTAGGAGTAGTCAACATAGCATTCTAGGAGTAGATTAGTGATAACTTCTCCCAACCTCTTTTCTGTTGATCATTGTATTTCTCAAGTTATCGTTCTTGTTCGAAATTCATGTAACTTGTAGCAAGTGACATTAAGTTTGATTAATACAAATTCAGTTCTGTTTCTCATATTCTTCTTTATTTAATTACCTCCAAAGAAGTCCTTAATCTGTTCACGGCATAGAACTCAATCACAAGTCTGAACTATTTTTGTTTGTTCACGGCATAGAACTCAATCACAAGTCTGAACTATTTTTGTTTTGTGAAAATTAAGTGTTTTCTGTCGATTGGCTTTTGTAGATTGACCTCAACAAAATTTTTGCTAACACAAGGAAAAGCAAATATTAGGAGGATTGAATCCAAGACCTCGCAGAACCAAAGCTTTTATACCATGTTGAGTAAACACTTCACCCAAAAGATTAAGTTATTAGGAAGTGGGCCCACAATGTATATCAATCAATCTAACAAAAGCCAAAACCTTTACAATGTTCAAATCAACTACAAACAAATTTAATTCTCCGGTGTTGATCTCCATTAGAGGCCCATCAAGCATCCTTCAATGGCTTAACCATCATGTAGGTACAAAGAAGTGACATTACAATTTGTTTGGCTCACATTTCAAGACACTATGTCATCATTGCTTTTACTGTCTGTCTAATAAACATAAGTAGAATGTCTTCATTCTTTTTCTGCTTCTTTTTTTTTTTTTTTCTTTTTTTGTGTGTATTCATTAAGAATCAAGATAGATATCTAATTTAAAGGTAAAGCAATTAAAGGTGAGTCTGGAAGAGATGACACCCAAAACTGGTAGAAATATTGACAATTTTTTCAAGACAAAAACCTCTATTCTATTATAATATTAGGTACCTGTCTTGTATTACTAAACACTCTAATCAGCATTAGACATGAGATTATCAATTATCTGCTCTTCTTGCTTACTAAATGGGAACATGCTCCTTTCTAAAAATATTTCAGCATTCCCATGGTTCTGCAGACTCATGCAAAAATTAGAAACATCAACTTCTAGGCTCTCTCCAAAAATGATGGTGTCAATGCCAGAATTTGAAGCATCTTTTGGGATAAAATTAGCTGACACCAAAGGTATATCATAGATAGTTCTTTAAAAGCTAACCAATCATTCTCGTTGTGCAAAGTCTACTTATAAGACAAGTCAGCCAAACAAAAACCAATTTGCCATCACAAAAAATTTGACCATGAAATTTTATGCCCTTGAACCAACTTGTTTCCAATCCAACTAAAAATTCTAAATTTATTCCATATCCATTACATTTGACATGGTGTTGATCACATAAGAAATTTTCTTTCTTTTGAGATCATTAAAGTGGCGATTAGTAGTGGATAGGATTTCGTCAGCATATTCTTAAAAAATAAACTTATTCTTTAGAAGACATCGTCCAGACTTTAATTTCCACTGTAATGTTCACAAATTTTAACAAAATTTATAATAGAAAGCTATTCTTTCCACTTTGGTTAGATCCTAAAAAGCTTGTTCGACAAGAAGTAAATTCAGCAATAATAATTCCAATTAATAATTTTTATAGTACTCACCTGGCACCATTTAAAGACAATAAGTATCGTAAAATAATTAGGAAACCAAAAACATAAACATTAAAAGAAGACAATTTTGGCAATCAGTTAGAAAGGAAAGTTGTTTCCCATATACATAATTCTCCTTATTTTTACTTTGCTTCCAAACAGGTCAATATATGAATGCAAATTGTAGTATAAAAAGTAAAGGGGGAACTACATGCAGGTGGGAGAAGGGGAAAAAAATTACCAACACATGGATGGTACAAGTGTGTCTATGGTGGGTGCAAATGAAAGATTGTGGGGGTGCAATCATGTGTTTGTAATTTTTCTTCTCTTCTCCACCTACAAGTAGTTCCCCCAAAAGTAAACCATATATGTTAGCACCATAGGACTTGGCCGCCCGCCGGACCTCAACCTAGTCCGCCGGACCTCTACACATACCTTGATCACTCTGCATGTGCTTCCTCCACAGCTCCGAATACTAGAAAGTTCTTCTTATAAACCCGGTCCTCTTGCCTCTACTCCATGAACTGGTCCGGTTCAACGAATCCTCGCCGGCGAAGTGAGGTACGAGAGTCGCCGGAGCGCGTATTCTCACGACCTCACGCACCACAGCCTCGTTGTATTTCATTTCCCTCAATTGCTCGGAGGAGATCGGAGTGTTCGATTCCGTCGACCAGATCGCCTCCCACACACTGCGACAACAACGAAGTCTTGAAAGCTCTCTGTTCCGAAGCTGGTTGGGTCGTGGAAGACGATGGCACCACTTATCGCAAGGGTTGCAGACCTCCCCCAAATCAAACTGAGATTGCAGGCAATACAACAAACATACGTAACATCAGTGCATGTTCATCGATCCAACCGAGCCCAAATTCCTCATCCTTTCCAAGTCCTGTACCGTCTTACCACGCCAGCCCAACATCCTCTTGTTGCTCTCTCTCTCCTTCCAGGTCGGTAAACGCCCTGATGATCCGCCGGCAGTCATTATTCCTCCGGCGGCGAAGGCTGCTCACGAGAACAACACTTCGTTTTGATTATTGGGTCGTAGAAAATGCAGAGAACTCTACTATTTGCTAGCTTTATTCTGCTCCTCTCTCTCTCTCTCTCTTTTTCTCTCTCTTGAGGAGAATAAAGAAGAAAAGAGACAACAAAACCGAGGGGGGTTCTCTCTCTCCCACTCGGTTCCCCACTCCCCCTTTTCATTTTTTAATTTATGTTCTGTTTTTCCTTTATTCCCCCCACTCTCTTCTTTTCTTTGAACATATAAAACCCATGCATCACACACTCTTTATGGGTCCGACAAGACTCTGTAAACTGTTCCGACATTGATTCCGGTTAGCTCCTTTCTGGGTCCGACAAGACTCTGTAAACTGTTCCGACATTGATTCCGGTTAGCTCCTTCATGGGTCCGACAAGACTCTGTAAACTGTTCCGACATTGATTCCGGTTAGCTCCTTCATGGGTCCGACAAGACTCTGTAAACTGTTCCGACATTGATTCCGGTTAGCTCCTTCATGGGTCCGACAAGACTCTGTAAACTGTTCCGACATTGATTCCGGTTAGCTCCTTCATGGGTCCGACAAGACTCTGTAAACTGTTCCGACATTGATTCCGGTTAGCTCCTTCATGGGTCCGACAAGACTCTGTAAACTGTTCCGACATTGATTCCGGTTAGCTCCTTCATGGGTCCGACAAGACTCTGTAAACTGTTCCGACATTGATTCCGGTTAGCTCCTTCATGGGTCCGACAAGACTCTGTAAACTGTTCCGACATTGATTCCGGTTAGCTCCTTCATGGGTCCGACAAGACTCTGTAAACTGTTCCGACATTGATTCCGGTTAGCTCCTTCATGGGTCCGACAAGACTCTGTAAACTGTTCCGACATTGATTCCGGTTAGCTCCTTCATGGGTCCGACAAGACTCTGTAAACTGTTCCGACATTGATTCCGGTTAGCTCCTTCATGGGTCCGACAAGACTCTGTAAACTGTTCCGACATTGATTCCGGTTAGCTCCTTCATGGGTCCGACAAGACTCTGTAAACTGTTCCGACATTGATTCCGGTTAGCTCCTTCATGGGTCCGACAAGACTCTGTAAACTGTTCCGACATTGATTCCGGTTAGCTCCTTCATGGGTCCGACAAGACTCTGTAAACTGTTCCGACATTGATTCCGGTTAGCTCCTTCATGGGTCCGACAAGACTCTGTAAACTGTTCCGACATTGATTCCGGTTAGCTCCTTCATGGGTCCGACAAGACTCTGTAAACTGTTCCGACATTGATTCCGGTTAGCTCCTTCATGGGTCCGACAAGACTCTGTAAACTGTTCCGACATTGATTCCGGTTAGCTCCTTCATGGGTCCGACAAGACTCTGTAAACTGTTCCGACATTGATTCCGGTTAGCTCCTTCATGGGTCCGACAAGACTCTGTAAACTGTTCCGACATTGATTCCGGTTAGCTCCTTCATGGGTCCGACAAGACTCTGTAAACTGTTCCGACATTGATTCCGGTTAGCTCCTTCATGGGTCCGACAAGACTCTGTAAACTGTCCCGACATTGATTCCGGTTAGTTTCTACAAGGGTCCAGCAAGACTCCGTAAACTGTCACAACAACTGTAAACTGTCTTCTACAACGGTCCGACATGACCCCATAAACTGTCTTCTACAATGGTCTGACACGACCATACAGTGTCTCCTATCTTTTTTTTATTTTTTATGTATTTTCTTGTTTTTGTTCCTCTCTCCAAACTCAAGTTGGTTAGTTTCTATCCTCCTTGAGTTTGCGGGGGGCTGTTAGAATTTACCAATTTGCTCCTCCACCTACCATCTCCACTAGCACCCACTTCACCTACCACCTCCACTACACTACACCTACTACCACCTTCTCTTCTATATATAGGAGTTGTAATACATAACACAAATCAATCAATCTTGTATCAAAACATCAATCAATAATACTACAATTTTAACAGAAGACAATTTTGGCAATCAGTTAGAAAGGAAAGTTGTTTCCCATATACATAATTCTCCTTATTTTTACTTTGCTTCCAAACAGGTCAATATATGAATGCAAATTGTAGTATAAAAAGTAAAGGGGGAACTACATGCAGGTGGGAGAAGGGGAAAAAAATTACCAACACATGGATGGTACAAGTGTGTCTATGGTGGGTGCAAATGAAAGATTGTGGGGGTGCAATCATGTGTTTGTAATTTTTCTTCTCTTCTCCACCTACAAGTAGTTCCCCCAAAAGTAAACCATATATGTTAGCACCATAGGACATGATACAACAATGGGAAGATTTGGATGTTAAAATCAGAAGTCACAAAGTCCACCTACTCAATGTATGAGTAGACTGCAATATACATGAAAAAAAATATATTTAAAAGGCTTAAGACTGGCTGAAAGGACAATTCTTAGGAGGACCACCCTCATCCTTAACATTCCAAAAACATATCGTTAATATTTCTAAAAGTGCATGTCGGGCTCATATGTAATTTAATATCTAAATGATTGGCAAAACAAGTGATGAACTCAAAAATATTATAAAACAAAAATCAGAAAGGATTATAGTTGTGAAAAGGAGATGAGATGTTCTTTGGTGGATACCTCCATCCGAAAGTGTTTTTGACGAGAAATCTTCCTATGGAATTTTGGTAGGCGAGAATGTTTCTTTCCCTTGGAGAGGGATTTGGTTGTCTAGAGCCCCCTCTCAAGGTTGGCTTTTCTTTTTTTTTTTTTTTTTTTTTGGGAGCCCCTTCACAAGAAGATTCTTACCAACTTGTTAGGTAGAGGCAGATTACGGTAAATTGGTGTTGTATAATGAGGAAACCAGTTCTCATCTTTGTTTACATATGGAAGCAAGGAATTATGGGATATGAGCCTTCCAATTTCTCCAGATATTATCGACCTCTCCAAGAGAGGTTGCGGGATTCTTGCCTGCTTAAAGGGGTGGCATGGCGGGGAAAAAGGAGGCTTTTGATACCCCCTATACCTTATGTGGTTGATTTGGAGTGAATGTAAATGGGTCCTTTTGTGATCATGAGGAGCCATTGCATAAGCTTAGAGCAGTTTGTTTAGTTGGATCTCCCAACTTAAAGCACTTCTTGGGTTTTGTTGACATCTTAGCTTTGTAACTTGTTTTAGAACTCTATTGGGTCACTGTTTGCCCTTCTCTGAACTTTTTTTTTTTTGGCTGTAATTTGGTTGCATCTCCTTGAAGCCCTTTTTATAAAAAAGAAAAAATAAAAGTAGTTTATTTTTTAATTAGCTTTGTCTTCTGAGAGCAGTTAAACAGACAAAAAACTTTAGTAGATGAATTAAAAATTATATATTTGTAATGTTGTATTGTGTCAACTACGAAAACATATGAAAATATGTAATAGTATATTGTCGTGACTACTGTGTGTGCTTTCCTAGAACTTTTCATGTCAGTATTGTAGCCATGTTTAATTTCATGTCACACTAATACATAGGAGCTACAAATACTGCATTGCTATCTATGTTATTAAAACTATGTCCTTTTGACATTTAAAGCATCTGGACTAATCTATAGTTCTTTGGGTAGAATTTGTAGGACAAAGTGAAAACAAGTGCCATAGATGGATGTTGTAACAACATATTTGTTCATGAAACTTAGCTAACCATCACAATGTGTCAAGAGACAAAAAATGGTAGATGAATATAGGCTGATATTGAATCATTCATGATGTTGAATAGTATAATTGATTCATACTAGGATGTCCAGATTCAAATGAATATAATGCACCATTTTATAAACTCAACAAGCAAGTGAGCATAATAAATAAACAACGGAAAGAAAAGGCACTGGAAAACAAAAGCAGAATAAATTGACATGAAACTTGTCCATTTTCATGATAAAGTAAATTAAGTGTGACTGATTAAGCAGAGACTTTGGAGTAACACCAAAGAAACAACACACATGCTTTTGTTCTCAATTGATGCATACTGATATGCATGCATGATGGAACCAAATGGATAACCCCAGTTTCATGGCATTTCATGATATTAAAGGTTCCCCGTCCAGCCAGCTTAAACAAAGTCAAATCAGTAAAAACACATATCAGTGACATCATTGACAGAGTAACACCACGTATAAAGCAAATTTAAAACACAATACACGAATACAACCACACATACCTACTAGAATTTACCTGTCCACAATTCCAGCTATTGTTATGGTTCTCACCATCATTGTTGTCTTCTCCATTTGCCAAGTTATGTTTGTTATTATACATCACCAAATCAGCCAGACTAAAGCCATCATGTGCGCAGACAAAATTGATACTGTTCCACGGTTTCCTTCCACCTTCCTAACTTATTAGAGGGAAAATGTAGTTCCGACAAAAACAAATTCAGAAAAATAACATAAAATGCATTAAACATAAAAGTTCAGACATATTCATTAAAGAGGACATAAAGCAAAGAGGGCTCCACAAAACATTCTGTTGAGTTATGAATAAGATAAGTATTGTGGAAAGCTGAAGAAACATAAAATTGTAAGCAACAATAAAAGAACCAAAACAAACCAAACCAAGCCTTAAATCCCATCAAATGGGAAGCAACAATAAAAGAAAAAAGCTATAATACCAAAGTAGTTAATAATATTCAATAGAATGTGTGAGATCATGGGCAGCAACAAACAAGTGTAGAAACAATAGTAACCTGGTACAAATTAGGGCTCCCACAAAGGCATTCAGCAAAAGCCCCAGCAAATCCATCTGTACCCTTGATATATTGCCGTACAATGTCACGATACTGAAATTGATAGAACATACAGTTGGTTTGAGTGTTCCATTCAATGAAAGAACAAAAGAGAAAAAGAGAAGAAAGATGGAGAGAAAGAAGAGGAAGATAGGACTATACACTCAGAAAGAGAATGCCTTAAAGCTCTATCTCCTTTGTTGCATCATACATACTAGATTATGGACTAAGAAACATGGATATGGAGACACAACATGACACAAATATGACACAAACAAACAAACACACCAACACGACAATTTTAAAAAATACATGACACAACAAGTAAGAGACACACACAAGATATATAGTTCTATGTATTTTCATGTCATATTGATGTAGGATATCATGTGCATAGCATGTGAGAATTAGTGGAGGGAAATTGTAGCCTATATCTAGAAGCGGCCAACCACTTTGTAACCAATTTTGTAAGATAATAAACATTGATTGATTGAGATCTGCTCTCTAAATTCTCTCTCTACATTCTCTCTCTCGTTCTTGATTGGGCCTATCATCACATATACATAATATTTCAATCAAGGATAATAAAAACTAAAATAAAATAAAAAAAACATAATGTACTACTAATTTCTAAAGTTTAAAGGAGTGATTAATAAGTAGGGAAAAATTACCCTACACCATAGGTTTACCCTCGGAAGCACTTTACCCCCTATTATTTAATAGTAGCCAAAGAAGCTCAATGTGGTTTTGGACCAAAATGCAACCCGAATTCCGTTAGCACCAAGTGACAAATGACATTCATACCCCTCTGCTATCTTCTCTTTCTCTCACTTCTCTGTCAACCACCACCACCAGAGATTCAACCAGTACTACAACAACTCACCCCTATCAGATTCAACACATATACATATAATAATGTTAAGTTAGATGAAGGGTAGTTTTGTACTTATTCACTTATTTGATTAGTATAAATACACATATAGTCATAGAGGGAAAACCTAATCTTGGATTTTATGCCTCCTTCTGGCAAATCATTTTTTCTATCTTGTTTTCTCTTCTCTTCACTCTTGAACTTATCAATATAATTTTAACTTGGTATCATAGCAAAGAAATTTTTTCTTCTGTTCTTTATTTTTTCCTGTATTTTTTGTTCGATCATGTAAAAAATAAATAAATAAATAAATAATTACCAAGATGCTCGACTAGGGCAAGGGATTCTCTAGAAAAATTTACAATTTTTTTTGTTTTTTTTGTTACCTATTTTTCGAATTTTTCGAAAAAATGGAGCCTATTTTTCAATCTACTGGTTCTATCTATTTTTTGCTTGATTCATGGCTTGGGATCTACTCTGTGTGCGCCGACCAGACCCTCTGAGGTCTTCCTTGGCTTCAATTGTTGCTCCTAGCTTGTTTTTTTGATCTCATAGTCCTTTTTTCGTGTGTTCTAGTGTGTGTTTACCACCCTCCGCTTCAGTTTTTGCCTGTTTCTGGACTGTTTTTTTGCTTCTAAGAGACTGATTTCTATTGCTTGCTAAGGTTGTCACCCTATCATCTCAGATTTTTTGGGGGTATAGTTGTGTATTCTTAGTCTATGGCTGATGATGGCAAGAACCCTGTTGGCACTAAGGCGAACGGTTTAGGTCCTAGTGTAACTTCTTGGTGATAACTCCTCTCTTCATCTTAATTCTGTTAAGTTGGATGGCACCAATTATCTACTTTGGCCACATTATTTTCAATTGGTCATTACTGCTGGTGGTAGGTTGGGTTACACAACAAGAGTTACTAAGGCTCCCAAGGAGGATGAACCAGCACGTGACAAATGGAATTAGAAGAATGCTCTTGTCATGACTTGGTTAATCAATTCAATCCACCCCAACATTAGCTGGTCCTTTGTTTTGATCGATACTGCTCATGAGATCTGGACTGCTGCCGCTTAGATGTATTCTCAATGGGGTAACGATGCCCAAGCATACGAATTGTTGTAAAAGATTCAGGGGTTTGATCAGAAGGATAGGTTTCTTGCCGAGTACTATACAGAGTTGAGTAGTTTGTGGCATGAACTTGATTATTATCAAAACTTCAAAGTTGTATGTTCTACATTTCAACAAATGGTGTCTAAGGAACGTGGCTATGATTTTCTTGATGGTCTCAACATGGAGTATGATCAAATTCGGTTTCAGGTTCTCAGCTCCTATTGTGCGTAAGACCTATGCTTGTGTTCTACAGGAAGAGAGCAGGCGGAGTGCTATGGTTCATCAGTCCCTCCAAGATTGGTCTATTTTAGTTATTTCTTCTACTCCCACAGGTGGGAAATTTGGTCAGTCCAAGTCTAGGGGTAAAGGCCTCTTTAGTGATCATGTTCAGATTGCCTATGATTATTGTGGAAAAGAACGACATGATCGGGAATATTATTGGAAGCTACATGGTCGTCCTAACTGACGGAGAGGTAGTGGCGGTGGTACTACTAGTGGTTGCAGTGGTATTGTTCACTCTCATGCACATCTTTGGAAATCCTCTACTAGTACTTCTAGTGATCCTGCAACTATCTCATGATGAGTTACATACTCTTTGGCGTCTGATAGCTCGGTTTGATTCTTCTCTTGCAACTGCTTCTGATCCTTCTTCTTCTAACTTTGCTTCCACAGGTATTCCTACAAACAAGTGCTCTGAGTGTTGTCTCTTCATTCCCTTGGATTATTGACTATGGTGCTACCAATCATATGACAGATTTGTCCACTCTTTTCCACTCGTACTCGCCTTGTTCAAGCAAGGATAAAGTAAAAGTGGCTGATGGGTCCTTATCCTCTATGTTTAGGACATGCTCTATTCATTGTTCCCTCTCTATTTCCCTCTCATTTGTTCTTCATGTTCCTAAGTTCTCTACTAATTTACTATCTATTATCACTTCCTTAAATTGTTTCGTAACCTTTTATCCTTCTCATTGTGTTTTTTAGGAATTGGGTACGGAGAGCACGATTGGTAATAGTAAAGCACATGGGGGACTGTATTTTCGAGATGTCGGATCTTCCTTCACTACATGTTCCAGCCAAGCTCTTCAGACGACCAGGACTTCATCACTTCCTCTATGACATAAGTGACATACGCATTTAGGCCATCCCTCCATTTCAGTTTTAGATAAACTTTTTCCTATGTTAGTGAAGGATAGGAATAATGATCTTGGTGACGTTTGTGAGTTCGCAAAACATAAATGTTCTTGTTATCCTTCAATTAATAACAGAGGTATGTTTCCACTTATGATTATTCATTCTGATGTATGGAGTCCCTCTCGTCTCATGTCTGTGTCTAGTTATTGTTGGTTTGTCACTTTTATTGACTGTTATTCTCAAGTAACTTGGGTTTACTTACTTCGAACAAAAAGTGAAGTCTTTTCTTGCTATCAGACATTTCATAAGATGGTGCTTGAACAGTTTGCCTCCCCAATTGAAGTCCTTTGGAGTGACAATGAAACTGAGTATATTGACGGAGAGTTTCAGGCATATCTTAAGAATCATTGTATTCTTTATCAAATCAGTTGTGTTGGCACCCACGAACAAAATGGCGATGTTGAACGAAAAAACTGTCAGCTTCATGAGGTTGCTCATGCTCTAATGTTCACGATGCAAGTTCCTAAACTGTTCTATGGTGATGCCGTTCCAACCGTTGCATACTTATTAACTGCATGACTTCTAGTGTCCTCTAGTTTCAGCGCCCCTTCGCGCTCCTTCCCCACACTTCAGAACTGCCTATCTCTCTCTTTCTCCTAAGGTGTTTGGTTGTGTTTGCTTTGTTCACTTTTCTCTTTCTACTTGGAGCAAACTGGACCCGAGGCTCTATGATGTGTATTCATTGGTTATTCCTCCACCTAGAAAGGCTACAAGTGTTATGATCCTCACTCTCACAAAACCTATGTTACCATGGATGACACCTTTTGTGAGTCTAAGCCTTTCTCCTGGGTCAATCTCTTCAAGGGTTTTAGACAATGAGTCAAATCCAGAAAAGAGATAGTTTTTGGATGAACAAGGAAAAGGATGTGACATTTCCCAGAAACTGTCTCAGCTAAAGGGCATTGGCAGAAACAAAAGAGGGTTACTGGATTAGAGTCACGTCACTTGAACTAGTATGTTCAGGGTAATAAACTTGATTACAAAGCTTCATAAAAATTCAGAAGCCTCCGGTATGGAAGAGAACTGTTGGACATCCAGATTCTATGATCTTTTCCAACAAAGCCAAGTGGAGGTTGAAAGGAACTCACGATCATTAATTTGCATCCTCAATCCGAACAAGAATCATCCACATTCAACAAATTTATAATAAAGTAAAAAAAATTCTTGGTGTTGGAGTCCAGCACACAATCAGAAAAAACACTTGGGAGCTCTACTCATAAATCATGAACATGAACGAATAATGAGGAATGACAAGATTAATCATTCACTAATGTGAGTTTGTGACCAAGGTTTTTCCAGCACAATGTTTGGTATTAAGGACTGGATTTACGTACTTCTAGAGCCTTTTTTTTTTCTTTCTTTTTTTTTTTCCCTTTCTGTTGCTTTGTATATATCACTCAGTACCCTCCCTATCTTCAAATCGTGAGCACACAAAAAAATGAAGCACAGACAGTATTTGTACTGACCTTCCCATTCCATTCAGACCAGATACCCCAGTGTGGAAACATGCCAACTTGGTAAAGACCCCCACAATCCCATGCTTCAGCTACAAGCTGTTTGAAAGAGGTAGATAGAAAATTCAGTCCATAGATTTCGATATAAATGAAACATCCAGAAATTCAGATAACAATAATGACAGAGGCCATTCGAAATACAATTATAGCAGGCTGCACCACTATACAAGAAGATAATTCCTGAGTCAAGTAAAAGAAACAGCATACAGGTCATCAAAATCAACCCAAAACTACGAAATGTGACTAATTCTCTCCCTCCCTCTCTCTCTACATGTGTGTGCAGTGAGTACAACCACATCACTATGTTCCATCGGACTAATTAGGCAGAAATAGCAGAAATAGACAATTAGCTACACCACTAAAGGGACCACATCAAAGGTCATTACTTATGGGGCTGCGAACTGATTGGATTTGGACCTTATCACGTTGAGTGCTCTTACTTCAGTGTGAATCCCATATATCAGGAAATAGGCCTAACAAATATCGAGCTATCCACCACCTTGCCTCACGTGCAACCCTGTCTTGCATATGGAGATGCAAACAGACATATATAGAGAGAAGCATAATGCAAACAGGGGACAAATGCAGACCAATAGAGTTGAACCCAAGACCTTCCCCAACCCTAAGCGCTGATACTGTATTAGATCACCACGAGTCCCTAAAGTTTAAGTAATTACGAAAGGGGTCCAGCAGTAGATATCAATCTCTCCAACAAACATCATTTCCAGTTTTTCTACTATGAGAACAGAGTGTGCCCCATAAAACACTGCATAACATGCCCTCGAAATTCTCCATGCCTTTACATAATGGAAAATGCAGGTTATATAATCTTCCTGATGATTTTGTTCATTAATATTCTGAATAGGCTTTAATGCATCCCATGTGAATCCATGCTTATTTTCATTAATGATTAGTGGCTGAAATTGAGCATTGTAAGGGTAGCATGGCTATGTTCAAGTTCTGTCAATGATTGAATATTAAACTAAATGGGTCAACTCTAACACAACACGATTGATTATTCATGTCAACCCTCAATCTTAAAATGACCTGTTTATTACAGTGGTAACATGACACATGTAATCCTATCCATAATGGAAAAGAACATTTACCTATTTATAAACATATTGTATGCTAGGTCATAAATTGGGAGAATTCGCACCTGCTTTAAATTTTTTAGGACATGCGAAAGGTGATAATAGATCTCGTCATTACCAAAAACAAAAAATAAAAAATAAAAAACAAAAAACAAAAAGGAAAAAAGATACTTATCATTCATTAGTACTAAGTGAATCTTATGCTAAAGAAGAGAAAAACAAAAGGATAGTTCTATTTGCACACCACCATTTCTCTTAGTACACACTATCTCCCTCATTTTTTCTTATTACATTTGTATTGGTTGAGCAAATTACATTTTTGGAGAAAAACCTAAAAACTAATTACTCAGCACACACCACTAGTTGCCACCAGCTACTGTAGTGAAGCCATTTCTCCTCCTCCGCCCACTCCTTACCTCCGGCCATTGTCACCAACCACCACCATCGCAGCTCCCACAACCCCTATCGCAGCCCCACATAGATGTCCAACCCCTCTGTTCCACCACCCCTCAATCTCGCTACAACCTCCATCATAGTGACGACCCACCACCTCTGGGACACACCACAGCAGCTGCAACCCCCACCCCTCGAGATCCCCAACCTGCAAAGAGAGAGGGAGAGAGAGAGAGAGATTAGGGTTTGAAGGAGAAGGAGGAAGAGGAGGGCATGGTAGGGCGAAGGAGGAGTAGGTGAGGGGTTGGAGATGGATGATGGTGTCAAGGAGGCGCTGGGTAGGGGTTTGTGACAACAAAGGAAGGGAGGCGACAGGAGGTGGTGGCGGCAAGGAGGGGAGGCGACAGGAAAAAGTGGAGGCTCGCAGTGGTGGTGGTTAGGGTTAGGTTTAGGTTGGAGATGGATGGTATTTCGGTGAAATCTAAAATTTGATGGTATAGATTGATAAAAAAAAATAAAGAAATTCAAATTGGTGTACACCGAAAAAGTGGTGTGTACTAAGATAAGTACTGGTGTGCAAATAGAATTTCCCAAAATAAAAGCATTACGCTTTAGATCAACATATATCTATGTTTGTTCATAACTTGTTTAATGAACAAGTCACATGTGGTATACATGATCCACCTAAATCAGTTATACCCTATATATGACATAGTTCACTAGTATGCCCTTTCATTTAGGCACCGAAACAAGTCAAATGGATTGGTTCTATTTGGGTAACCAACTCACATTTAATTAAATGAGACAAGTCATGTTAAAAGGGTTGAGGAACGAAACCCTAACGTCACCTATTTATTGTTCATGTTAACCGTGATGATATGTTTATTTTTGTTATCTTTTAGGGTTGGCCTAGCTATCTTTATTTATATTAACCATAATCTTTACTTTTGTTAGCTTTGAGGGTTAGCCTAGATATCTTTATTCATGTTAACCATAATCTTCCTGATTATTATTGAAATAATACAATACTTAGTTTCTAGTTCTCATGATATCAAAGCTAGGGTTTAGTAGATAACCCTAAAGTTGATTTTTTGTTGTCTCTCTCTCTCTCTCTCCCCTTTGAAGCTTCATTAGTGAGATAGTCTTCCTTTCTCCTTTGTTCGCAAGAGCAAGGGTTTGTCTGTGGTTCCTCTCTTTCTCCTCTACAGTCTAGACATAACGACACTATATTCGCAATACCCTTGCTACACTTCGCAATCACCTTCACTATGATTTCATTGTTTGATCTTATTCTCTTGTTGGACCTTGTGTTTTGACTCTTCCTTGCTAGTGGTTCTTGCAACCAATTTTGCTATTTTTGTGCTCCAGGTATTTGCTACAACTTTTTTGATATTTTCTTGTGACCTAAAGACCTTATTGCGACCTCTTTGTTGATTCTGGATTTGTTGAATAGCTTTAAATACATTGTTGAGCCTATTTCTTAATAGCTTAAGCTTTTGAAAAAATTGGTAACTTAACATGGTACCAAAGGTCAAGTTGAGAGAGGTCTTGGGTTGAAATCTCTCCATTGGCATTTGGTATTCTCAATGTTATTAAAAGCATGCCTAGGTGTGAACCTAGGCTCAAGTCCTAGTGTTCTAGGCAAGGCAACTTCAGTAAGTTGCGCGACTGGCCTAAAGTGAAGTAAGGCACAAGGCGCAGGCCTTGAGGGTTTTTTTTTTTTTTTTTTTTTTTTTTTTTTTTTTTTTTTTTTTGTGTGGCTTTGACTGGTTTTGTTTAAAATCTAGCCATTGATTTAATATGGTTCAGCTGCAGCACATCTCTGCTCTTAATTGTATGTGCCAATACATTAGGCATTTGGCCGTAAATCAATGATAAAAGAAAAACTAGCCCTAACCTAATCTTTGAAGAACTCTTTGCTGATGTCAGCCCTCGTTGTCCAGTCCAGCAGCTCCAAAGAATCAGGTTTATTCTTCTCTTCTCTACATTGTTGTCTTCTTCTTCACATGGTTCTGATGTTGCTTCCTTCTTCTGCCATTTTCTCTGGACTACTCTTTTTTTTTTTTTTTTCTTTTTCTTCTTCTTCTTCTTGTCCTCTTTTCTTCTTGTTATTGATGTTTTGTAATGCTCAAACTTGTGTTGTTCGATAAAATTTAGATCATGGATGTTCGTGTTTTCTGCTGAACTTTGAAATATTGTTCATTTTTCTATGTTAAAATAGTAGTTTTTGTTGGTATTTATGTTTTAAAATGTTTAATATTTCATTTTGCTTATGTTGAGCAATAAATTATTTTCTTACATTAAATTATATGTTCTTTACCTACAAGGTGTGTCTCACCTTGCATCTAGGCCTTAGGGGACCTTAGCACCGCAATGCACCTATTGCCTTTAATGACATTGGGTATTATGTCTCCATTTGATGTCTTCTTCTCTATTTGTTTGTTTCCCTCTCCACATGCAAGACGAGGTTACATGTGAGGGAGGGTGTTGGATAGCTTTATAAACATTGTTGAGCCCATTTCCTAATAGCTTAATCTTTTGGGAAAATTGGTAACTTAACAGGATTTTTTAACCTGTCCCAACTGGTTTTTCCCACCATTGTTGTGGACTTTTTATTTTTTATTTTTTTGTTACTAGTGAGTCTTTCTATGCTAGTTGATGCAAAGTTGAGAAATTTCCTAAGTTACTGTTTGCTTGACGAGTTACTAATGCCAAGATCATTACTTGGATTAACAACTTTGTGGATCAACCTATTGGGGTTCATTTTGCTAAGTTCACTAATGCGAAGCAAATTTGGGATCACAATTCTCGGTTATATGTTCAGTCAAATTTTGCTAAGCATTATCAGTTAGAGTATGAGATTCGAGCAACTCAACAAGGGGATAAGAGTATCCAAGAATTTTATTATGTTATGACAGGTCTGTGGGATCAATTAGCGAGCCTTAGGCATTGAGTGCTCGTGTGGAGTATTGAACTTACAGGGAGGAACACTGATTAGTACAAGTCTTGATGGCTTTTCGAGATGATTTTGAGGGTCTTTGTGGAACATTTTTTTGGTGAATAGGCTTTGTGAAACTATTCTTCGTCGGAATCCTCTTCGCTCTATTGATTTAGTTGCCAATGAGTTATTGGCTGAAGAACTTTGTTTTAAGGTAGCTCTAGGCAAAAGGTTACTTCTCTTGCCTACCCAAACAGTTTTGGCAGTGCCTATTGGTCCTTCCTCTATTACTCCAGGAAGGTCATTCACTTGCTCACCTTTGGATGAATGTAGTTTTTGTCACCAAAAATGACACTAGAAGGCTTGGTTAAGTTGTCAACATTTTGGACAACACCAAGCTTGGAAAAGGAGTGGTGATAGGAATTCTGAACAGTTGTCATGTTGGAAAAATGTGGAATCAACATACTGCTGTTACTACTCCATCTGTGGAAGATTCCTCTTCATCCTCAACTCTTATTGAGCAATTGCAGAAACTCCTCTGCACTCACTCACCTAATGCCTTATCAGTTTCTTCCCCTATAGGTTTGTCCACTTCATCTACTCCAGGGATGCTG